AAAAAAAAGTGTAAAGGGAGTCAAGGGGAGGGTATGTCTGTGTAGGATAGTTGAGACTTGGGCGTTTTTATAGGCTGATGAGAAGGACTTAGCAGAAAGGGGGAGGATGAAGGACGGAGTGGGGTCCCTGTGGAGCTGGGGTCCATGTGGGAGAAGGAGTAAGGAGGCAAGTGGATTTAGAATTGTGTTTTTCAAATTTTAATGTGCATATGAATCACACATCTCAAATCCCCCCTCCTCTCCATCTCCATAGCCGCCATCCTGGCCCAAGTCCAAGTCCTCTACACGTCTCATCTCTCACCTGGACAACTGAGCTGGCCTTCAGAACCTCAACCGTGTGGTGTAGGCTTTGTGGTGAAGAGGCCAGGAGGGGCCAACTGAACAGCAAAAAATAGAATGGGCCAGTGGCCTCTGTGAAGTCAGAGGGTAAGGCAGTGGAGTCGGGGGATAGGATGCTATAGGAGGGGCCTTGGTGGGATGCTTGAAGTTGGGATTTCAAGGGGATTGTTCATGTGTGGCCCCAGAGAGGATGTCTGGGGTTATGGTGAAGGTCACTGAGGAGGTCAAGGAAGGGTATTGGAGGGTCATTCACATGGATGAGCAGGACATTAGCACAGATTGCTTGACAGAAATCTGGAAACCCAAGTCCTTGATGAATGGAGGAGAGGTGACAGGGAGGCAGACTGAACAAGTGATGAGAAGAGGTGGCAGAGTAGAGCCAGGTGGCAGGAGTCTCAAGAAGGATAAAATGATAGATGAAAAAGGGAAAAACCTTCCAAATGTGAATGGTGGTTGTCCGTGGGGGTAGAGAGGACTATGGGTAGTTCTGATTTCTTCTTTTTACTTTTCCGTTTTCCCCTGAAGTTTTCTACAATGAGCTTCTTTTTTAGAAATGTAAAAGACAGAAAAAAAAATACAAAGAATAACAAAAGCCCCCTTTTACACCACCTAGAATTTGTAATTGTAAACATGCAAAAGTCCCCTTTAAACTTTAACTGCCTCTGCTTCTCAGACAAGCATGATCAGTGGGCTTTTAGTTTTGCATGTATATGTATACACACACATGCATATATATGTGTGTATAAATTAGAATATAGTAAGTTTTGTGGGTGATAGTTTTATTTATATGGAGGAACTGATCTTATAATGGGGGGGGGGGCTTTTTTAAGGTAAGGAGGGGTTGCACAGGGACAAAAGCCTGAACTGCCATCCCTAGCTGAGCAGCCCAGTGGGGATGCCATGCCCTGGAAAGACCCAGCCTCCAGTTTGGTGCCACACCTGGCTGTTAAATGTTCCAGGAAGAGGGAGAATTACTACTTGTATTTGTTTGGCTAGGTTTTAACCCACTCTCATCTCTCTCAAGTCATTTATGCCTCAGAAATCTGGGAAGCGGGGAAGGCAATCATTATTCCCATTTGACAGATGGGGAAACTGAGGTCCAGGGAACAGCAGTGAGCTGCCAGGGTGTCACAGTGAGTTGGTAAAGAACAAGTGACTTAGAGCTCTTTCTGGAGTTCTTCCTGGAACTTCAGGCCAGTGTACGGAAGGGTGGGGCAGAGGCAAGGGACACCGGGTGCCTCGGACTAATGGACTTTGGCCGCTTGGCAATAAGGAAGAGAAACAGGAATAACTTCATGCTGCTAAGGCTGGGCCCTGGCCAGGAAGCTGTGTCTGGGAAGAAACAGGGGGGCAGTTCTCCCTCCTCAGAGGCCCCAGAGAGCAGACCCACTCCCTAGGGGCTATGGCTCCCCACTGTCCCCGCCACACTCAGAAGTCAGGGGCAGCCTTCACAGTTAGACAGGACTGATGCAAGTCTCAGCTCTACCACTGGTCCGTGCTGTGTGATCTTTGAGAGGCCCTTTACCTTTCTGGCCTCAATTTTCTCACCTGTAAAACAGGGTGATAATCGTTAATTCTCACCATTGTTCCAAGGATAAAAAGAGAGACTCCTCATCTATGCATCTGAAAGCAGAGACAATGAAAAGCCCTGGTCCCCAACCTGATTCCAGAAGACCCCAGATGGGTTCGGTGTCAAGGGGACTTCCTGACACTGACTGGTCAGGAAACCACATGTACATACACACACGAGATCTGAAATCAACTTTGTAGTGACTACGCGTGCTCTCCAAGGCAGCCCCTAGAAGGTGGCCTTTGTCTCAGAAAGTTGGTGGAGTGGGGACAGGGCAGTGGTGATGAGGGGGACTTTCCTTCCTTCATTCCCCCTTCCTCCCTCCCTCCCTTCCTAACAAAAGCAAAACATGAGTAAATGCTCATTGTAAGACTCTCGTGTGCACATAATACAGCCATGTGCAAAACAAAAAGCAAAACCCCTCCCTTTGCTCCCCTCCAGCCCACACCTCTCTGGGGTGTTACTTTGTTGCTTGCTGTTAGGAACAGCTTGTCCACAAACATCGTTAAATGCACACGTACCTTTGCACTCTTTGGAGTGTAGGGTAAAGACCTAGAAACGGAATTGCTGGGTCACAGATACAAGTGGTTGACAGTATGGGCGAGCTCTGCCCAATTGCCCTACAAAGTGTCCTCATGGACATTAACATTCGAATGTCAGCCTGGGAGGGCACCAGCCCGATGGTGCTGACAAGTTTTTCTTCCCACACTGCACCTGCCCTGCATCGGTGGCCTTCAAACAGGAGATGACAGGGAAGCATGTCTGCCAGGGGTTACCAGCCCTGCTGGCCTGACTGGGGTGGTTCCACATGGCTCCACTCCCTCCTTTGGTGTAAACGTGCTCCATTAACACTCCAGAGGCTCTGTGTGTACTGACCCAGGTGCCTGACACACAAGGCACACGGCAGGCACTGGTACAGGTGTGCAGAAAGGTACTCTTCAGTGGGCAACTGGTGTGCCAGGCTCCGACTGAGCACCCTGATACCGTCAAGCCAGCCCTTGCCCTCAGGGCACTGACCAGTGGGGTGGAGGGTGCACAGCATGAACAGATGCTGTCCAGATACCACACAAGTGAGGTGCCTCCCAGAGGCCTGCTCTGGGGACCAGAAGAGCCCAAGGAGGTGGCCACAGCATGGCCACACTGAAGAACATGGGCCCGGAGACCTGGGTGGGAATATGGGCTCCCACTTCCTCCACCACTTCTAGCTGGGTACTCTTGGACAAGTCCACTTCTGGGTGCTAAGGATGGAGCAAAGGAGGGCATAGTCTGTCCTGGCACACTACAGAGGCTCAGTAACCAATAGCCCAGATTAAGAAAGCTCCTGCTATGTGTCCCTCCTACACCTACACACTGTAAAGATACTCTGGAGGGTTTTCAAAGTCTTTTCTTATCTCGTTTTATCTCACCACTATCTTAGGGGACAGGAATTATTATCCCTGATTTTCCAATGAGGGAACAGAAACCCCCCAAGACGGAAAGGTAAGGCTTCTTTTCTTGCTCTCTGGCCAGGGCAAGGAGGGAACCCGATTTGCTTGAGATCACACAGCAGGTCAAGGAGATCCTAGTCTGCCAGGCAGTGCTCCATCACCATCCACTTCTGCCTTTCCCCATCCTCTAGAAAGACGTGGAGTCTCAACCTTCACCCTGGGGTCTTTCTGTCCAGGTGCCCATCAGGTCACAATAACCACAGCTAATACCCCTCTCACTCCCTAGCCGGAACCATCACAGCTCCTCTGAACCTCAGTTTCCATCTGTAAAACGGGCATCACTAGGAGTGTGTGTGTGTGTGTGTGGTGGGGTGGCTGGGTGCCAGCCAGGATCCGAGGCAGGCACCGGAGGGTGGGACCAGCGCTGTGACTCAGCCGGGCGGGCCAGGAAGGGCTGCCCAGCCGGTCTGACCAGCCTGGGATGCAAACGAGCCGCCCTCCCGGACCCTCCCGGGGCAGGGCCGCCCGGGGGGTGATGGGAAGGGAGGCTGGCCGGGTGCCGGCGACCCCGGGCTCAGGGCGGGAAGTGGGCGCGGCGCCTCTGCGGGGTGCGAGGCAGCAGCGAGCCAGGATGGAAGCGTGGTCCTCAGGCCGCCGGCAGCCTCTGGAGCCCCACTGAGCCGGCCGCCAAGATCCTGCGCGACAGCCGAGATGTGTCTGCGCCTTGGTGAGCCGCGGGGGGGGACTCCCCGGGAGGCCCGAACCCACCCAACTCCTCCGGCAGGGGCGGAGCACTGTGGTGGGAGCCCGGAACTTCGGGGTCCAGGCCTCCTTCTCTGCAGGTCACTTTCCGTTCTGGGCCTCAGTTTCCCCAGCAGTGAGATGGAGGGAGGTGTGCTCCTAGTATCTTCTCGAGGCGGCGTAGCACCTCCGCCGCTCTCCTCTGCTTTGCTTTCTTGCGGAGGTGGGACCCTCAGCGGGAGAAGAGACGCTGGGGAGAGCAGCCCTGGGGTTCCAGGGCCCAGAGAGTTTTGAGCTGGACTGCCTGCCTTACGCTTCCTCAAACCTTGTAAAGCGTTCCCACTTTCATACCCTCCAATCCCCCCACCAGAAGGGGAAGGGAGGGTCACTGGCAAACAGGATCCAAAGGAATGGGACGAACGTGTGTCCTCTCATCGCTCCCGGGGCACAGTGATGCTGCTCATGGACATCACACAGACCTGAGGAGCCCCCACTCTCTAGCCAGGAGAACTTGTGAGGCTGTTTCCTCATCTGTAAAATGCGGATGGGAGCAGCCCTCACCCCACTAGGTGAGGATGAAGTTAGCTCTAAGAATAAAGTGCTTACTACGGTGCCAACCACAATGCAAAGTGCTCCGAGAACGGTGACTTAGAAACAAAGAAGCCAGGGGACTGCCCTCAGACTCTCTCTCCAGTGCTCTAGGCACAGTCCCCAGTTGGCAGTTCCTCCAGCTTGACCAAAGTCTTGGTCCTGGGCTGCTGTTGTTCATGAGCCCAGCCCTGAGCTGGGTGGTGTGTGTGCTGCTAGGTAGGTGGGCGGATGGGGTGAGGTGGGTCAGGCCCCTGGGATGAAGCTGCTGTACCCCTTCCTGTTTGGCTAGCAGTTCATTTTCACGATGCCATTCCAGTTCCACATGCCTTTCTAGCCTATCATCTGCCCTGTGGTTGATCCTTCTACATCTGATCCCGTTCCAGAGGGTCCTGCAAGCTCCAGGGTCTCAGAACAGCTAGACTAAACCCTCCCCACTTTATATATGAAAAGGTCAGACAATTAAGTTCGCGAACTTTCCACCATGCGCTTACATGGTGGAAAGTTCATAACATACTTGTCTGACCAATCTCCTACTGGGAATCTGGGTCTCAGAAGGGGGAGGGGCTGGTACAAGATCACACAGAGTTTCTGTGACTGAGTAGCCCCATCTCTCCCTGATTCCTGAGAGCTGCCTCTTGGTACAGAGCCCCCAAGAACATTCAATCTAGTGATTTCATTTTTTTTTCTAGCTGCAAAGCTCCCATATATGAAATATGATCCACAGATGGGGAGACTGAGGTCTAGGAAGAGACTCAGTCAGGTCCCACCAGAATTAGCTAAAGGAAGAAGGGGCTGTTTAGTTGTGGGGACCTGGCCGGTCTTCCAGTGTCACAGAGCTGGCTAGAGCGAAGGGGCGGTCAGAGCCAGGGCCCAGCATGGTGTGTCTCCATAACCCATGGGGGAAATTCCAGACAGCAAGTCTGGAACAGCCTGAGCTGCCCAAGCAAGAGGGTTCCCTGTTCCTGGGGGTGGGGTGGGGGGGGTGCAGATAGGAACAGGGCAGGCACTTGGCCACTCGGAATTTGCATGAGTCCCTGATGTGCTTTTGACCCGAGCCCTATCCCGACCCCAACTTGCCCCATCCCTGCCCAGTGCCCCTGCACCAAGAGCTTGTTTTTCCCAACACCTTCAGAGTATGCCCCACCTTCCCGTCCATCTCCTCATGGGACCCTCCTTTCCCAGCTGTGAGGCAAGGATTAATTCTTCTTTCCAGTCTACAGATGGGGCAATGGAGCCCCAGAGGCTTGAGTTTGCCTTGAGTCACCCACCTCTAGGCAGTTCAGTTCAGCAGTTGCGCGCTGAGTAGCTACTGTGTGCCAGGCCCTATCCACCAGACTGAATCCCAAGCAAGACCTGATCTCTGCGCAATGACCTGGGGGCTCCTTGAGGCCTGGACAGTGACTATCAAGCTCACTGTGGTACCTCAGGGCCTGGCACAGTGAATGGGAGCTGAGTAGAAGGATCATGGGTCTAAAGCTAGAGACCTGGGTTCAAATCCTAGCGTTGCCACTCATGACCTTGAGCACTGAAAAGCGACTACTCCCCTTTATCAAGTACCACATCTGTGCTTTTCCAACTTTAGAGTTCCAAGGACTCTCATGAAGGCGTTGTGAACCCCTTTTCTGGATGAGGAAACTGATGCTCAGAGAAGACAAGTTAATGGCCTCAAATTACCCAGAAATATTTAGAACCCAATGTTCACCACTGAATGAAAACCACCCAATGAAAACCAGGACCTCAGTTTTCTCCTCTGCCCAACAGGATGAGCCCCACCCATGGCCCTGACCTGACACGGTTGTCCCCCGCAGGTGGCCTGAGTGTGAGTGACTTCCGGAAGGTGCTGATGAAAACAGGGCTGGTGCTGGTGGTGCTGGGCCATGTGAGTTTCATCGCAGCCGCTCTACTCCATGGCACTGTGCTGCGCTACGTGACTGCTCCCCACGATGCTGTGGCTTTGCAGTACTGCGTGGTCAACATCTTCTCTGTCGCTTCCGCCATCGTGGTATGACAAGGCTGGGAGGGTGGCTAGCAAGGGCTGGAGGTGGCTTGCAAGGTCTTCGATGAGTCTCCACCCAGAGCCTGGGGTGGGCAAGCAGAGAGCCTGAGCACTAACTACTGCTCTGCCACTTACCAACTGCACAAGCCACTCGACTTCTCTTTGCCTCAGTTTCCTCATCTGTAAAATGGGGATTGTAACAATGTCCACCTCAGAGGGTCCTGATGAGTACTGAATGAGATCATCCACCTAAAATGCTGGACACAGTGTCTGGCACATGGTGAGTGCTCACTACTGTGATCTAGGATGATTATTACGATAGGGAAATAGTCAAGGCTCCATTGGACAGAAGGAAGGAGCATTATTAGCTCAGCTTGGGAGGGTTCAGGAAGGTTCACAAAGGTGGGGGCCCCTGAGCTAGGTAATAATGGATGAGAAGGAGTTCAAAGATAGGCTACAATGACCATAACCCAGGTATTCGGCATGCTGGGGCCAAAAGGTGGTAGAGGAGGCTGGGGTAGCATTCCAAGTACAGAGAATGGCAGCTGCAAAGGTGTGGAGGTGGGAATAGCTAAGATCTGTTCTGGAGACACTGAGAAAACCAACCTGGCAGGAGCTTAGCGTTAGGCCTGGTCTATAGTAAGTACTGAATAAATGGTAGCCATAGTTATGACTGAATATCAGTACCTGTTTGATGAATACATGAATGAAAGGGTCTGGTATTCTGAAGTTCATAAAGCTCTTTCCTACTTAGTAGCAGAGATGGCCACAGCTTTTGGGCAACATCTGCACATCAGTGTCTGAGTTGCGTCCTGGCCACTTCCTGGCTAAGGGACTTATTTTTCTAAGCCTATTGTTTCTCCTGCAAAATGAAACTTGGATAGCCTGCTGGCCCCAAAGCTTGGATAAAGGAGGATCACAGGCCCCAGCGAGTAGGAGAGCCTTAGTCAGTGGGACAGGGCTGGGCTGCACAGACGTGTGCAGTGTCCCTTGGAGTTACTATTACTGTTTTTCGTTCCTCTCACCAGCCTGGTGAGGAGGCAGGGAAGGCAGTGAGCTCCGTGTTAGGAGGTCCGCTGGGGATGGGCTCTGGGCTGGACCACTTGTGCTTTGCCCTCATTTCCTCAGTTAATCGAAGGGGTTCCAAGCAACATGGGGCCATTATTATCCCCACTTTACAGAGGGGAGAAACAGACTCGTGGACTCACCCAGCCTCCTGCTGATACAAAGAAGCCAAGCTGGATTGGAAATGATTTGTGTCTGACACCAAAGTCAGGGTCCTTTCCATGAGCTCATCCTGCAAAAGGAGGCTTAGGCCCAAAGAGGTCGCGGCACTTACTTGTGGCTGCACAGTAAATTAAAGACATTGCTGGGCTCCTGTCACACCAACTGCCTCCCATGGGTCCAGCCCATGCCTGGTTCAGCGAGGGAACTCAGGGAAGAAGCTTGGCTGAATGGAGCCCAAAAGATCCAGGGGACAGCTGATGGGGTAGACACCTGCCTCTTGGGACTGAGGTTAGTTGGGGAGGCCTGTAGGAGAAAGAACCCAAGCAGGTAAGGAGGAGCGGGGAGGGTGTTCCTGAGAGGGCACTGTGTGGGCAGCATCATGAGCAGGCTGTGTGTGGGTGTCCATATCCAGGGCAATGAGGGAAGAGACTGGCCAGGGTGGGGTTGAGAAGCTGATGGGACTCGGGCCAGGTCATTGAGAGCCTGGGATAACTTACTCCTAAGATTTTGAAATCTACTCCATGCCATGTCTTGATTTGTTTTAAAATAACAATTTTGTTTTCAGTTCCTTGCTAGTTGGGTTACCTTGTTTATTCCAAAAGCTCTTCCACTCCAGACAGAAAAGTCATATATATCATGGGACATGTCCCAGCAGCCCTGGGGTACACAGGTCCCGGTTTGAGATACATTGCTATAGGCTGTGGGGAGTCATGGAAGGTTGTAGGCAGGAAGTGATTGTATTTTAGAAACATCACTTCAGGGCTAGGCCATGAGGAAGCAGTGCCTCCATGCAGATGGAGGTAATGAGACAAAGGCTAAGCAGAGGGTGGGGGATGGGGATTTGGAGGAATTGTGGAATCCTTATCTGAGAGTGGCTCTGACCCTCCTGCCCACTCTCCTCCAGCAGGGGGGTCAGGGCTGACTTGAGCCTCCCCACAGGTCATCACCTCGGGCATTGCAGCCATCGTGTTGTCACGCTACCTCCCAAGCATCCCCCTGGTATGTGGTACCTCTTGGGATGGGGCTTAGGGGTAGAAAGGGCTTGACCTGCTTGGACGGGGTGAGGCTGACCCATGGGGGCCAAAGCTGCCCATGGGGGCCGAGCCTGATGTCTGTTGACCAGTAGCCTCTCCTATCCAGCGTTGGGCAGTGTTTAGCTCCAGTGTGGCCTGTGCCCTTCTCTCTCTGACCTGTGCTCTCGGCCTCTTGGCCTCGATCGTCGTGACCTTTGCCACCCAGGGCCGAGCACTGCTGGCTGCCTGCACTTTTGAGAGCCCTGAACTACTGGCACTGGCGCCCGACTGTCCCTTCGACCCCACACGCATTTATGTGAGTGCTTAGGCCTGGGATGGGGCGGGGCTCATACAGGTGCTCATCAGAGGTGGGAAGGGTTCTCAGAGTCTCGCCCTTACCCCAGATCGCTGTATCTTCCCCCTGTGCCCCTGCAGAGCTCCAGCCTGTGCCTCTGGGGCATCTCACTTGTGTTCTGCGTGACAGAGAGTGTGTTTGCTGTGCGGTGTGCCCAGCTCACCCACCAGCTGCTGGAGCTGAGGCCCTGGTGGGGGAAAAGCAGCCACCACATGGTAAGGCCTGCCACCCCCTCCACAGACCTGACTCCCCATATTTCCTGGCATCCTCTGCTGGGCAGCCCCCATTCTCTCTAACTGAGAACTGGGACAATAGTTTTCTCCTCAGAACCAAAGGCAGAGGCTTGAAGGCTCAGAAAGGTCAGACCTCCCAGCTAAAATCACACAGCTGACAGCTAGCTCACTCAAGGCCCAGGATTTGAGGGAGAGGGAGGGCTATCCAAGCTGTAATTGGGGGCACTCCGAGGGTTTGGCCTGGCTCTTGCATGGGGGGAGATGTAGTGATGCTCCTTTGCCTGAGATCCTCCCAGCCCTCTCCTCCTCCCATTCCCTGGGTGACTTGGAAGAGGAGACCCAGACACAGAGATCCTGCAGCTTGGCAGCCTCTTGTGTCTCCACAGATGGAGGAGAGCCCAGAGCCCGCGGAGGGCCATGACCTGATGAGCTGCCTCAGCTCCGGGCCACTGACACTCTGACAGCTAATGCCTCACCTGGGCCCCATGGCCTCTGGGGTTTTGCAACCAAGTCTGCACTGTGACCAGCCAGGATTCCTGGAGCCAGCCTGCAAGGGCTCAGTGACAACTCGGGGACCCGAGTGGGGCTTTCAACCCCTCCCCCAGCCACCCAGCCCACTGCACTGAAACAAGACTTTATTCTGAAGTTATTAAAAAGAACAGAGATGCTGCACAGGAATGCATGCAATGGGGGAGGGGGCTCAGCCAGGGGGCCTGTGCTGCTTTCCCACACAGGATGCTGCGGGTGGGGCTCTAGTGTTGCCTGCCCGTGTGTGTGTGTGTGTGTGTGTGTGTGTGTGTGTGTGTGTGTGTGTGTGTGTGTGTGTGTGTGTGTGTGTGAGAGAGAGAGAGAGAGAGAGAGAGAGAGAGAGAGAGAGAGACAAACAAAATACACAGAGGGGTCTGTGGGTCTGTGTTCATCCAAGTGCTGAAAGGCAGGCAGGGGTTCATGAGACCCACAACTGAAGGGCTGGAATCGGCAGGTTTTCCTTTTGCATCATGACCTCCAGGCCAACAAGAGCTGGAGCAGGAAGGGTTGAGGCCCTCCTGCAGGGAAGGATGGCTCAAGGAAGCTTTTTCCTTAACCCCCATGCCCTCCATCTCTGGAATCCTTCTCTCCCCTCCAAATAAAAAGACAGGCTCCTCACCTGGGCATGGTTCTCCCCCAACACCCAGGCTGAGATTCTACGAGGGCAGGGGTGGGGGTGGGAGAGGGAAGTCTGGCCTCCTGGCTGTGTGTGCTAGCAGGGTGGGGGAATGATCGAAATTCTTATATCTAGGTAAGGGAGGACTGACTCCAAGCCAGAGCTTGTCTCCCTATCATTGCCAAACGGAGATATTGCCTCTTAGATTTGGGGGTGCTAACCGCTTACTTGGGCCTTGAAGGGACTGCAGGGTTCCCTTCTCCATAGCCCCCTCCCAGAGTGCAGTCCCTGGAGGGGAGGCCCAGTCTGACCCCCCAGCCTGGATAAACACAAAGGAGAGGAAGCTGAGAGCTGGGAGAGGGCCAGTGAAGGCAGGGAGGAGGGGGAACCTGGCTTCTCTCGCTCAGAACTGGGAGGCGCTGCTGGGGTCGCACTGCAGCAGACGCACGATGGACGGGTCGCTTTTGGCCCCGCGGATGAACTCTTCCAGGGACAGCTTGCCTGCGGAGCGAGGAGAGCAGTGATGGGGGGAGAAGGCGGCAGCGAAGCGAAGGGAGGCAGAGCAGAGCAGCCGGAGGGGAAGGGGAGTGGCGCCCGCCCCGCCCCCTCCCCTGCCCCTCACCGTCGTTGTTCGTATCCATTTGGCGGAAGATTTTCTCAGTCCTCTTTTCTGGGGTCGACTCGTCCTCCGGCATCTTCATCACGGAAGAAACCATCTTGTAAATGGCCTAGGGAGCGGGAGAGGAAGGCAGAGAGTGAGAGGAGTTGCCTGAACCCCCCACCCCCAACGTTCAAAAATATCCCCAGGTACGCTGACGATTGTCGCTTCCGCCAGGATGAGGTAGAGAGGGAGTCGAGGAGGCGTAGGGAACCGGGTGTTTCTGGAAGGAGTGTCTGCGAAGGCTTCCCAGAAGAGGGGGCTATTGGAGTGGGCCCTGATCAAGTCCCCTTAGAGCGCTGGGTGGAAAAGGAATTGCTGGCAGAGTGCTCTGCATGTAGAGACTCCGCAGTAGGAAGCTCTGCATGGACGCCGAGAATTTGGGGGTGGCTGAGTGCAGGGGACGAGGAGAGATGTTGGGCAGCTGGGCCAAAGGTTCCGGGGTAAGTACAGCGTTAGCGCCGCTTGTCAGAAACCCCGGGGATCCGGGCGGCCCGCGCTCGGTGGCCGACAGGGGGCGCAGGACCGAGGGGGTGGCACTGGGTTGCGGTGCCGCTGTGGCCGGCAGGAGGCGCAGGGCCGACCTGAGGGATGAAAGCTGGTCACAGAGGGAGCGGGGAGTATTATGCAAATAAACGCAAATGAGCATCTTTCGGGGGGCGGGGACAGCTTGGGCTCTGCTGGGCCCAGTGCTGCAGCCGCCACGTGCAGGGGGAGCTCCGGAGGCGAAGCGAAGTTTTTCCGCAGGGCTTGGTCTGTAGGATAGGCTGGGTCCCAGAGCTGCTACTGAAACCTCCAAGAAGGCTCCCTTCTCCCATACCATAAATTTCCCATTTCAGATCCAACTTTAGCTTCCACACTGATCTCTTCCAGCCTGGTTTTCTTGGGTCTGTCCCCCACGCTACCTCTGAAAGCTCTATTCCAAACACAGATCTCCACCACCACATCCCCCGCCCAGCGGGCCGCCCCCTCTTTCCAGTCACACACAGGCCTCCCTCCAGGCCTGCCATGCACTCAGCTCCTTCTGGATGCTGCCCCACGCTCCTTCTGCTGCCTCCCACTCCTCCTTGGGGCTCAGCTTACATAGCGCTTTCTCAGGGAGGCCTACTCTGATCCATGCTGGGTCAGAGCCCATATGCTGGCCCAGAGCTTCCTGGGCTTTTCCTTTGAGGACACCTCTCTGGAATTAATTATGCCTTTGTAGGATTGTTCCTACTCCCTAGCATACAGATAAGGACCAGAGACATCTAGCTAGTGCCCATATCCCCAGAACTTAGCACAATGCCTGGCATCTAGCAGGAACTTGCCCTTTTGAAAGCCATTGGCACCTCCCACTGCCCTCTGTACCAAGTCCAAACCAATCTGCCCTTGGCATTCGAGGCATTTCACATTCTGGTCCCTGCTGACCTCTCCACCATCCGGCCTCCCCTGGTGGGTGATTTGGCCACAACGAAACACCCCCACACCTTTCAGGTTTCCTAGCAATCACGGCCTCTGCCTGAAACAATACTAGCTGCCGTTTATCAGGCACCTACTATGTGCCAGGTACTTTACATGCAGTATTTCTAAACCTCACAACAGCCCTGAGAAGCAGGTATTGTGATTTTCATTTTCCAGATAAGACACAGAGGCTCAGAAAAAGAATTAGTGGCAGAGACCAGATTAGAACCCGCTTCCCCTTAGCTGCTGGATAGATGCTTGTTGGGGTGGTGATGATCAACAGGGGCTTTGAAGTAAGGTGAACCTGGAGTGGCATCCTGGTTCCACTACTCGTTTGCTGTGTAGCCTTGGACAGTACTTAACCTCTGTGAGCCTCAGTTTCCTCATCTGTAAAATAGGGGTAATCACTTCTCCCTCATGAGGATTGCCTAGACGAGGATTAAATGAGAATGCATGTAGAACAGTGACTGGCTAGAGTGAGTGGTCAGTAAATAGCAGCTCATATAATAATCATTACTCATCTACCACATCCTCAGATCTTCCCTGACCTTCAGTCCCCTGAACTCACAGATGTCACATTTACACCCCTGTCACTCAGCTGATCGGTGTCACCTTGTCACACTTGTCTCTGCCACCAGAGTGGAAGCCCCAAGCAGCCAAGATGCAGTCTCTTCCCTTCCAATGTGCTCACCACCCCACCACAGGCCTCAATCCTGAGAAGGACTGAGCAAGTGACTTAGAGAATGAATGCTCCCCTTGTGACAACCCTACTCCTTGGCCTCCTAATTAATTATCTAGACTTGCTGTTCACTCATTGTTTCACTGGAGCCAATTTGTAATTAATCAGTCACTGGGGTTTGCAGAGTTCTGTCTGCACTGGCCGTCTGGGGCTGACTGATGGGCTGTGGTGAAGGAAACCAGGGCCTAGACAGCAGAGGTTACCGAGGATGCCCAAGGAATGGGGCTGGCTTGGCACCTCCAGCAGGGCTGAAATTTACCAGTATAACCAGGACCCTCAGAACTCCCACTATCCATCAACTAGAGATGTTATTCCTCGCCCACAGGAGTCATTGACATACACTAAGGCTTTACCCTACTGATAGGCATAGGGAGGGCATCACATCCCAAGGGAGCCTGTTCTACTCTAGCTGGAGAGAGCAGACCCACACCCTTAGTAACAGAGAGGCCAAAGTCAAGAGTCCATCTCTGTGAGTCTCACAGTGTTGTTTTATATATGCACTGAGCTCTGGGTATAAGCATTTCACTCAGCACTAGGCTCTTAGATGGCCCTCAATTAATTAGTTGGAAAGTGGCTGGGTATCCAGATGGAATGTGGATGGTGGAGCCAGGTGGCCCACTCACAGGCTGTGTGGCCTCGAGCAAATGTCTTTACCTCTCTGAGCATCTGTGTCCTCTTGAGTAAATGAGGATCGATAAAACATACTGGCCTTTACTCTGCAGAAATGTCAAATCTTGAAAGACAAAGAAAGGCTGAGAAACTGTTATAGACTAAAAGGGACTAAAGAGACATGAAAACAAAATGCATTGCGTGATCCTAGATCAGGGCAAAAAAGAACATTATGAAGACAGTTGACAAAATTGGACTATGGTCTGTAAATTAGATAATAGCATTGTTTCTATGTTAAATGTCCTGACTTTTGATAATCATATTATGGGTTATATAAGAGAATGTCCCTGTTCTTAAGAAATATATCCTGATGTATTCAGGGGTAAAGGGTCCTGTTCAGAACAACGAACCATTACAAACATGCATAAACACACACGCACGCACACACACACACACACACACACACACACACACACCTAATGATAAAGCAAATGTGGTAAATGTTAATTGGTGAATCTGGGTAAAGAGTATATGGGAGTTTACTTAACTTTTCTTGAAATTGGAAATTATTTCCTAATAAAGTATCTTTTAAATGGGTTGTAAGAATAGCACCTGCCACTACCTACCCACAAGGGCTGTCGAGAGGATAAAAAGGGATGGTGGGTGGAAGCTGCTGGGCCCTGTGCCTGGCACTCTGAGGGGCCCAGGGGCCCACCTGCACAATCTCGAGCATCTCCTCACGGCTGATGTAGCCGTTGCCGTCCAGGTCATACATGCTGAAGGCCCACATGAGCTTCTGCTCCAGGCGGCCACGCGAGGTCACACTCAGTGCGATGATGAACTCCCGGAAGTCGATGGTGCCATCGCTGTTGGTGTCGAAGGTGCGGAAGACATGCTCCGCGAACTTGGAGGCGTCGCCGTAGGGGAAGAAGTTGGCGTAGATCTTCTTGAACTCGTCCACGTTGAGGATGCCGGTGGGGCAGTCCTTGAGGAAGCCCTTGTACCACTCCTGCAGCTCCAGCTCTGAGAACTCCGTGTTCTCGCGCAGGTCCTGCAGCATCTCCGGCCGCAGCTTGCTGTTC